CTCAACTGCCCATTCTGACTGGATAGACCCATTATAACAGGGTTCTCTGTTCTGGCCGTGCTCATGCTTTTATCTTTAAAGATGTCTTTTTAGACTTCAAAACTTTGAAAGTCAGTACAGAAACTGTAATAACAGTTTATTAGACTCTCCAAAATGAAGAGATAAATAAGTCTTGCTCAATATATGAGTCCTTTATTGCAATGCAGGCAAGCACCTGTAAGTCACTCAAAAGTAAAGCAGTAACTTGCTCTGATGCACTGTGGAACAACTTTTTTTTAAAAAAAGCCCTCTATTGAAGTTCAGTTATATCACAATTCACTTGCTTCAATCTGAAAGAAAAGTAGACAATAACAATTAGTATGTGTATTTTTGTCTATGCAAATCACATCAGTTTACTCTTGTATTTTAAGAAAAATTTCTTCCCAGGCAGTGTGCAACAACAGTACTTGCTTTTTTGTTTCCTCAGTGACAATTATAAAGACACGCATCAAACTTTTTTTGCCTTTCTAGAAAGTATTGCCTAACATCTTCAGACACCGAAGAAAACTTCCCAAACAGCTGTACTTCCAGCGACCTTCCACTACCCATCCCCTCTCACAAAGTAACCATTAGGTGTATCAATTGCTTTGATGGCTCTTCCATTTCCCCACAAATTCCCCCACTTCCAGGATGCAGCAAACCAGCCCTAAAACATGAAAAATATTATGCATAAGTTTGTGACAAGAAGCAAGACTACAACAGCAAGTGGACATTCGTGTTAGAACTGACAAAACCCTTACATTACACTGACTGCCCTGCTCGGTTTGAATGGGAAACACAGATTATGTAAACCCAAAACCACAGCTTACACTCCTCCAACCCTAAATGCTAGCTCAACCAGCTTACCCCCAGTTTTCAACCGGGTATTGATTTAAGGCTGTTCAGAAGAGTGATGAAACAACACCATCAGGCTGAATTGAGAGCAGCTGCCTCTGAGTGGAAGTGACTGAGCTTGAACTGAGGCAGTAATGCTGCTGGCTGTGCAGCTTCCTGCTTGTGATCTTACCTTCCTGCTGTCAGGAAGATAACATTTCATACACACGACTTAATATTGACTCTATGTAACAGAAAGGTTGCAAAACTCTGGAAAGACAATACAAAGTCTACCCCTTACATACAGCAAGCACGGACCAGAGCTGAAGACTCCTTACAATGGTACTAGGGAGACAAAACGTCTCTAGCCCAAAATCTTTGGGAAAGTAGGCTCGCCTTGAGCATCTGCATCTTGGGAAAACATAAAGGGAAAACCAGCAGACTACTGCTTCCTAACCTCGGCATTCACAACAAAATGCATGTTTTCCCAGTGAATAAAAAGGCACAGTAAAGAGAATTTCAAGAGAGTTGGAAAGGAATTCAGACTTCCCAGCTGTCTTAAGGTGCATCAGTGCTGGCTTCCAGCAAAATTTTAAAGTTTGCGATACTAGGATTTTCTGCTAGTTAACTTTCAGGGCATCTTCAAAAAGATATTTCTCTTGGCCATTAACTTCGTAAAAAGCAGAGGAGTTACAAAGGTAGCCAGACACGCCAATGAGACCCGACTACTAACGCCGAGAAGTTCTCCAATAGCGTAGGAAATGAAACCTCTCAGTCCCTTCTGCCCACACGCTCCCGACTATCCTTTAGAAGAACACAAGTTCAAAAAAAACGCACAGCCTCATGGAACCCAAAAAAAAAAATCTCCCTGTTCCGATAAAAGAGACGCCACCATTTCGCAAACCAATGGACTGAGAGAAAAGGGCCTCCATCACATATCTCGGCTCTCCGGGCGCGGGCGGGCGGCCGGGGCACCAGCTCCGCACCTTCCCCTTTCCGCCGGGTGGACCCGGCACAAAGAGAGCCCTGGAGAGGCTCAGCGTGCCCGGTGATCCCGGGCCGCAGTGCGGAGCCCCGGGGCAGAGCGGCGGGCCCGGCGCCGCCCGCCGATCGCAGCTGCGCCACACCAACACCTTCCGCCCGCGAACAATGGAGCGGCCGCACTTTGCCGCCCGGGCCGGCGGGCAGCGAGAGCCGCCGGGGCCCGGCCCCGTCCCCCCGGTCCCGCCGCTCCCGGTGCGCCCAGGCNNNGCCCGCGGCGCCGCCAGGCCCCGGTCAGGCCCGCGCTCCCGCCGCAGGCCGCGAGGCGCGGCCCGCCGGCAGCGGCCCCCTCGCCCTGCTCCCACGGAGCCCTGCCCGCCCTGGCCCGTCCTCACCGCCACCAGCCGCGCTCCCCCTCGCCCAGGTACAAAATCCTCTCGCTCCCCCGGTGCCTTGTTATGGCGACTCGACGCTCCAAGATGGCGGCTTCCTCCTTCCTCCTGTGCGCCCTCCCCCTCCCGGCGGGTGGCGCCGCCCCGCCCCACACGCACCACGTACGTGCGTGCGTACGGACGTTCGGCGTGCGCCACGCGTCACGTCCCGCCCGGCGTGTGGCGCCTGCGTGAGTGGGGCTCGCGCCGCTCCCTCAGAGTTGGCCCTTCCCTCATAACCGGGAAATGCGACCGGGCTTCGCTGTGTGGCCACTAAAACAGGGCCAACGCAAACCTGAGAATGAGGGACTGAGCCACTCTGTAGGAGTCGGAACCGCGATCCTGACAGGCATTTCTTTTTAGACAGCTGTTGCTTAGACGTGGATTTTGACAAACCGAGACACAGTGGGAATGAAATCTTAGTAGTTACTGCAGTCAGTTTTTTCTTCAAGTGTTTTTCCAAAATACATGCAAAAGGACAAGAACACTCCCGGTTTTGTCTTGTTCCTCACATCTACAGCTATCTCTAGGTGGTTGTTTTTCCACCCTCAGCAGCAAAAGGCACAAGCCTCAAACTCCAGTTCTGGCTGGTTGAGAACATCCTGACCTGTTCCTCTCCTGGGCCCTGCACTCCTGCCTTACCCCTCAGCCCTGGCAGCACAGTCTGTGCTCTGCCTGTGGGTGAGGCGCAGTGCGAGCTCCCCGCGGCTTCCCTCCGGGTTTGCTGCTCTCCATCCTTCCAGGAGAATCATGCCCAGAAGCTGGTGAGCACATGCCGGTGCACACAGAGGTCCTCACGGCAGGGGAGGACAGCGACATCCTCGGGGCAGCAGGTGCCAACGAGTCGGGATCTAAGAAACAGGAGGAGTGGTTGTAACCCAGCAGCGCTCGCGAGAATAACGCCACCTCCTCCTTCACCAGCCCAAAGTGCCCCAGAGTCCTTGCTGGTGGAGAGGCATTGATGCGGCTGTACCTAGACAAGGGGAGGACAGGAACTGTGCTTGTCAAACCAGCTCAGCTGCTCGCACGGGTAAAGCTGTCTGCCCAAATGCCAGCTGCAAAGCCATCCTGCTCTGCTGACCTAGACCGGGGCATTCTCACTGTGAGTCTGCTGCTGTGACATCACTGAACAAAATGCCCATTTCCCCAAGCAGGGAAAATACTGATTTCCCATCTTGATTCTCCTTTGTTACCCTTGTGAAATCAAGCTGCCTAGCCCTGCTCTAGACTTGCAGAGTGACTGCCAAGGCCTTGTTTTCCTGTGCAAGCCACCTCACGCTCCCCCAAGCCCAGACAAGGGGTGAAGCAGAAAAAGGAGCAGAAAACAACTACAAGTCACTGGGGTTAAATCAGCCAGCAGGACCCCAAGGCAGAGGGTGATGATCATACAGACCATACCCATGTTCAAAGTCCTGCACAGCTCCAGAGAAGTGTCTGGATCCAGGAGGTTTCTGGTAAGGGTGGTCCTTAGCACAGAACTTTTCAAAGCCTTTCAGACCACCTGTAACAATGACAGCTGTGGGCAAGAAGGTTTCCAGGGAAGAGCTAAAGATGTTCTGGATCTTCTGCGGTATAGACCAAAGGAATATGGACTCTTCAAACTGTACTTTAAAAATCAACTTACAGCACTAGTAAAAAGATGATAAAGCTAGATGTTAATCTTTACATCAATCAGGTCCTTCTATGCCTGAGCTCATTTGCCTTGCAAATACTCTATTGTTACATTCTGTGCCCCTCCCCACTCACTTAAATGATTAACTCCACCCCAGAAAAGAACTTTTGTAGCAATTTCTGGAGGAGAGAGGGATCGTGCCCCTCAAGCCATGGGGCCTGTCAGCTACTCATCAGAGACCTATGACTTGGTGAGTTGGGCCTGGCTTTGCTTGATAACAGGGATGGCAGGTGGAGCTGGGGTGGGCTGAAAGGCTGGGTTCCTGGCCATCCATCTTCTAACACTCCTGTTGGCAGAGGCAGGGCTTGAGCCGTTTCTTATGCCAGCGTAATCAGTCCTTGCATCCCTTAAGTCCAGACTTGACCACAAGCTGTTGCTTGCAGAGAGCTCCTAAAAGGGAGTGATGACACTAGGTATTCTACCTCACAGTTCTCTTCCCAGCCTTTACAAGTGAAAAAGAGCAGTTACACCTTATGGAGTGTGTTGTGCTATCCAACAACAAGGACACAGCAGCGTTATCGTTACCCTGGTTTTCAAATATTGCATCTCAGAATTTATTTTTTTACTACAGTGGCTCCCTGTAGCAGACCTCAGGATTAGTTATTCCAAAAAGAGAAATGTTGGATTCAATTGTTACCAAATTTTCTGTTCCTCCTTTTTTTCCTACACGGCAGGGAAGAGCAAGCCCTACCCTATTTATTTATTTTCTGATTCATCCAGTATAAAAGTCCTTTGCAAATGGTGGTCATTCCTTTAAAACATTCCTTTAAAACTTTAAAAAGACTTCTTTCCCAGACCTCTCTTGAAGTTCAGTGGCAGCCCTAAAATTTGCTGAGAGGTTAAAACTAAACTCAAACCTCCTTTTCTTTGCGTACAAAACTTTCCATTATCCTTAGCTTAGTGCTTTTATCTCTGCTGTGAATTCTTTTACATCATAAAGGAAACTCCATGTGAGGGGAGGGAGGAGGGTTGGGTGGGGGAACCCAGCTTGATTTTAGGACTAGACACCCACAGTCAGGTGCCACAGCAGGAAGAGTTTTAGACCTTTTCTCAGACTTCTGCAGTTGGGAGTTGTTTCTCACCTCTGTCTCCTGGCAGCTTCCCAGATTTGGCTCCCTCCCTGGAACACGGAGGCCATAGATATCACATGAGCACCCCTGTATTTGCTTTGGTGGTGCCATATGTTGCTTTACTTATACTCAGTGCTTGTACAGCAACCTACCCATAAAGATTTGAAAAAGAAAGGCCTCCAAAGTGTCTTGTCAAGGTGGCAACACAAACCCTACCTTGTGCAGAGAGGATAATTTGATCACTTGAGTAATTATGAAGGGAAAATGATGAGAAGGTTTACACCAAAAGAGCATTTATCTCAATATCACACAGTGAACACAGTGAGGGCCTCACTTAAATTTTGATACCATATGAGACCATTTGACTCTGTAACCTTGCAGAAAAGTACCATGCCCAAAATTATAACCCTGTTTCTCTATAGCAAAAATGCTTTGCCTGCTAACCTTCCTCAGCTATGGACTAGACATCCAAAAACAAGTCGCAGAAGAACCACTGAGATCTGCACCAGGTTCCCTGAGATTCCTCAGGCCAGGTTTCGTTGCAATGGGGCCAACATGACTTAAGAGTGTTAAGGCACCTACACTGCAGTAACATGGTATTTCCACAGGCCTTGGTCTTATTCCTGGATTTCCCTGGTTCAGCCCCTGGAGAAGTCATGAGCAGAAGCTCTGTCAGTAGATGGTACAGATGTAGGCAATTGCATTTCTAAGGTTTTGAAAATGAGATTTACTGCTCCCAGCCCTGGCATTGACTAAAAGGGATTGATTCACATGGAAAATCCGTAACAGTGGACAAGCTGCTTCACTTCTACAGCCAAATATTTTGATTGCTGACAGTTGTGGGGAACTGAGAAAAACAGCTGACACACGGAGACCAGAATAACTCTGTGATGCAGGTTATAGGGTAAAGGGATCCCTGAACAAAAAGCATGCAGGAACAGCTTTCCCAGGCATGCACTTGACTGCTCTATTACAGAGACAACACTTTTTCTTCCACCCCCAAATCTGCTGCAGTTGTCCTGCAGAAAACCTGTACAAAGGTCCCTCTGCATGCTCACTGTTGATTTATCCCATCCCAGATCAGGCAGCCACCCACTTCCACTCCTAGAATTGCAGCAGAGTTCCCAGAAGCCTCAGCTTGTCATATTCAGTGCATCTCCTGCAGCTCTGGTCCTTGCCCTTCCTGTCTCAGCCCAGACTCTGATTTTTCATCCTCTTTTATTTGTCTCCAACTCGTCTCTGTGTGCTCCTACCCACACATGCTGCTCTGCTCAGAGATGCAGGCAAGGACGATTCAAACACAGCTCCACACACGCTTCCCCCACCCACAGCAAGTGGTTTACAGTAAGAGCCCTCCCTACCTGCTCCCCATCAGCAGTCAGATGGTGTCTGATAGTGGCACTCAGCCTCTGCACTTCTGGCTCCAAATACAAGGTGATCTGGAAACTGGTCAGCAGCCAAAGCCGCTGAACACTGCCCAAGCTGCCATCCACTGCCATCGGTGGTGCTGGCATGGCTGCAAGGGAGGACTCACACTCCAGCCAGCAAACCCTGCTATTTTCCATAATTTCATTTTTCCCTCCAAAGCTGGAATTGTCCAACCCTTTCCCAGTGAAATTTCCCATTCCAACGTGTAATCTGTTTGGGGTTTTCAGCACAGTCACTTGCACAGCCTGAGCAGCCTGGTTTGGTCACTACACAAAATTGCAAAGGTTTTTAGGTTGTTTTGCTTTTTATCAGAGAGGTTCAAGGATCTGGCCTTGGCCAGCACATCACAGATTTCTGTGTGTTGTTAACTCCTCATGAAAGGTCTGGGTACAGAGTAGGCAGGAAATACTTTCAAGCTGGGTAGGAAAATAACTGGGAGGGATTTCTTAAGGCCCAAAATGATACCCTAAACCAGAAAAATAAAAGTTCTTTGGTAATACAAAATGCTTCTCACCAAAGGCTTGCAGCCCCACAGTTAGATTAGCAAGAGCTGGGCAGGGTTATACCACACTTTTCCCAAGGACTCATTCCCTTGGGAAAAGTGGAGTGCTCTTAGGCAGTGGACCCCCCTACCATCCACTGCTTGGGGACTGCCTGCACCTGCTGTCTGCTCTACAAGTTTGGTAATGCCCCATAGACTTATGCCCCATCAGCATGCCCAGGCTTCTCTTGGAACCATGCAGGTAGTTTCAGTAGCAGAGGAGTTTAGATAAGCCCTGCTGCTGCCAAGTGACCTCTTTACCCCCCCAACACTCAGTGCATTACCCAGGGAAAGCTGCCCGAGAGAGAAGAAACATAAATACTCTTCCTTAGCTAAGTACAATGCAAGACTCCAGGCTGGTCACAGTAATTTTGCTTAGTAGCCCCTTGGGTGAGCAAAAAAACCCCAAAATCAGGTCTAAAACTGTGTAAAGCAGGGCTGGTATTTTTAGACAGGAACTTTGGCTGATGAGGGAAGGAGCAGCAGGTGCAAACTGCTGCAGCTGGCAGTGAAAGGTATGAAAGCATTAGCAGAGACTTCCGCTGTGGTCAACACTGAAGTCTCAGCACAGGTCTCCAGAGAGGGTGTGGGTGGGGGACCTCAGGCTGACTGCTGCTGAGCTCTTCCCAGTTGTCACTAATATTCAGTTTGCCACAAACCTCCTCCACTGCTCTCTTTTTGTGCAAGGCCAGCTGAAGCATAACCACGATCCAGGGAGCTCATCCTGAGCAGAATTCTAGCTTCCTGGTGCTTGAGACTTGCCCTCAGCTTCAGCCTGAATGCAGGCTGATCCAGAAGATACAGCAAGCCAAGGGCTAATCACATCCGCAGCAGCTCTATTGCACTTCCCTTACTGGATATCAGTCTGGAGTCTGAGTGGTGTTTTCCCTTCCCTTTCCTGCTCTGACTGCAATTAACTCACAACAGAAAGGTTTATCAACAGAACAGATCTCTCTCTCCATCATCTATTGCTGTAGCTATGGCACCACAGTACCTCAGGGGTGCTGTGCACACTCCTCCCATTGTGTTGAACACCTGCCCCACACCTTCCTCCGAGTGTGGGAAGCGATCTCAAAGGGCAGCTGCTGCTGACCCCACCTCACCTTGCTCTGTCATAGGCAGGTCTCAGGCCTCTGAGGATGAGAAGAAGGGGACAGGTTCACTGCACAGAATTTGAGGTTCAGATGTGCTGTGTGGTGAATCCTACCACCTTTATACCTGACAGCAGGCAGCAGGCAGGACAGGAGTGGTCCATGTAAGAAATGGGTGGGAAAAATCGGGAAAGCTGGTAGAGGAGGGTTCCATTCTATATGAGAAAGCAAAATTTGCCAGCAGGTAACTTGGCAAGAACCAGAAGATGAAACTGATCATCTGACTGGACACCAAAATATCCCCAAATACTCCAGTCAGACATTGCAGACTGAGCAGCCCTCACTGTCACAGATGGAGGAAACCTTCTCCACCTGCTGCTGCACCTCCTGGCAGTAGAGGGGCCTCCAATGCAAGAGGAGCCTCATCCCACTGCAAACAGCATCACCTCGTGGTGCAGGTGGGCTGCAGGACATAGGGGTGCTCTGCTCTAGGTCTGTCAGGTGCAGCTGGGGGACTGGGTTCTTGTGTTGAGAAACTCCCCTCCATTAACAAGACTCTCTCCGTTCCCCAGAACCAGGTGGAGCTGAGCGGTTACTATGAAGCTGAGAACACCACCCCTTCTTTGGAGGGCTACTTTTGCTTCAACCCAGCCTCATCTGTGGTTGGCAACCAGGGAGACCCCTTCAGAAAGGTCTTCATGCCCCTCATCTATCTGCTGATGTTTGTGTTGGGGACTCTGGGCAATGCTCTAGTCCTGGTCATTTTAGAGAGGTTCAAGCGGTCTCGTACCACCACAGAAAACTTCCTTTTCCACCTCACCCTGGCCAACCTGGCACTGTTGTTCACCTTCCCATTCAGTGTGGTGGAGAGCTTGGCTGGGTGGGTATTTGGGAAGTTCCTCTGTAAGATACTCAGTGCTGTCCACAAGATCAATTTCTACTGCAGTAGCATGCTGCTGGGGTGCATCGCGGTGGATCGTTACCTGGCCATCGTCTATGCAATCCACACCTACCGCAAACGCAGAGCTCGCTCCATCCACCTCACCTGCACGGCTGTCTGGCTCTGCTCACTGCTTCTGACTTTACCCGATCTCATCTTCATGGAAGTCTGGACAGATGACAGCAACCGCAGCATTTGCTATTTTCCAGAGGTTGGGATTGATGGAAACAATGCATGGCTGGCAACTCGCTTCCTCTACCACACCGTGGGCTTCTTTGTGCCCCTGCTGGTCATGTGTTACTGCTACATGGCCATCATCCGGGCGCTGTGTCAGTCCCAGCGCCTGCAGAGGCAAAAAGCTGTCCGTGTGGCCATCCTGGTCACAGGCATCTTCCTCCTGTGCTGGAGCCCATACCACATCGTCATCTTCCTGAACACACTTACCAAGCTAGAAGCCTTCACCAAGAACTGCCATCTGGAAGACCAACTGGACACAGCCATCATGGTGACAGAGGCCATCGGTTTCACACACTGCTGCCTCAACCCCATCCTCTACGCTTTTATTGGGGTCAAGTTCCGTAATGACTTCTTCCGGATCCTGCAGGAGCTTGGCTGCATAAGCCAGGAGACCCTGCAGGAGATCCTGGAGGTGACAAGGAAGGGTAGTGGGATAGACTCTGACAACACCACCTCCATCTCCACTTTCTAGTTGGGAAGGGCTGCCTACAGGGCAGAACTGGGTTTTTCCTTCCCCGTGGCACACTTGCTGTGGTCTCAGTTACAAGTTTCACAAGCATCCCCACAACTTTCTTCACTCCTCAGGAAACAGGTCCAATAGCCACCAAACACCCAAATCCTATCAGACACCTTGCTTGGCTCTTCCTGGTTCTCAAACTTGTAGAGATCCCTCTGGCAGCTGTTGGTGAATGCTGATGTCTGATGGTCGCTCTTGTGGAGCTGAATGAAGATGGTCACTCAAGTGGGTTGAACCTGACATTCCCACCTCTCCCTTGAAAACCGGACTGCAGGCATCATGTGCACAAAGCCAGGCACAGGACTGGGGTGCCAGGGTTAAGGAAAAATGTGCAGCCAAGTAAATGAGTCATGTCAGTAAGCAGGTCTCCATTTCACTAGCTAAGTTGGTACACACGTGCTCAAGGGAAGCCGTGGAACTCAGTGGCCATCGCAACTGGAGAGATGCAGTAGGATTGATGGGGGCTGCAAAGCTCAATCCAACAGCATGGGCAAACAGTGCTGGACATTCTTTGACTGTAACATCGTCCTCCTGCTGCATAATATCCCCCCAGCCTGCCACAACATGTTCATCTTCCCAACACAGCTCATGCCAGGAGGTCCTCCCACAGACTGAAAGATTTCACTGTCACAGACTCCTTTCCTACACCAGTTGCATCCTTCCCCACTCATTTGATCTGTTTTACTGCTGTTACGATCTCCTGTGAGTGGCTGCTCAACTAAATGCCTGACTATGCAAAAGTTTTCCTTTAAGGAGGAACACCATCTGAGGAGATGGCTTCTGTCTTGTGAGCGCACACAGGGGAGAGAAACCACACAGCCTTGTAAAGCTGATGGTATAACTTTTTCTTTTTTTTGGCAGCTAGTTGTATGGCTATTTATGGGTTCTGAGAGCAGAGACCCACTGCCCCAGAGTAAGGGAAAGTCTCCTTTGCTTTTAGAAGGCTAGAGGAAATGTGGCATTTTGCTTTGCACTGTGCTTTCTGTTAGTTTTCCTCCACCTGCACCTACAGGGCTTTCAGAGATTAACTGCATCCAGGTCTACAGAGAACAGACCTGGGTGGTGATCTTGGCCTAAACTGCAAGTATGCAGAAACTGCTCAGATCAGGGCAGCTTGATGATAATTTGCTTCAAAGTAAGAGCAGTAGCTTTCCCCATCATTAATTCTTGCACCACAAACTGGTGTGTGGGGAAGCCCCAGCAGATCAAGACAGCTTGCTGCTGCCCACGAGGTCTTGTCACAGTTTAACATGGCAGCAGGCCCACAACACTGCTCCATGACATTTCTGTTCCTAAAGAGTGCTGTGGCTAGAACTCTAGGAGAGCCATACATACCAATGTCACCCTCCTCACATGCACACTTTAAAATCTCCTCTACCCTTCACCTCACATTTGAAGCAATGTTGAAACAATGTTAGTTCTCCTGTGGCAGCAGGAATTTTGTGCTAACCTCACTTCTGAAGTTCATCCCACTAGCAGGCACCTCAGTTCCAGGTGAACTTCACCGTACTCAAGGGCCCTGCTATAAAGACCGGCCATTATGGAAGGGGCCACATAACCTCAGCCTGACTCAGGCAGAGATCTCAATAGCTTGATCTCACATTGTGACTTGAGGAGAAAACTCACCTAGTGTAAGGCAGTCCTCCATTTCCTGCAGCACTGCATCTTCAAAGATGAAACTTTCAAGTAATGGCAACTGTGCTTGTTCAGGCACATACATGCAGCAGAGAAGGACAAGTCTCTTAAGCCTGCACTTGTGTTCTCCACGGTTTTACCAATGAGAAAATCCATTGCAGAAGCATTGTAAACACCTCCCCAGCAGGTTATGGTGACAACTGTGTTTCTACATGAAAATGTTATTGAAAAAAATAATAATCAAAGTATTCAATAATAATCAAAATTCTTACAGTGGTCACAAAGTAAAAAGAAAATCTGCACTCAAATGAGAGTGAACAGACTACACATCTATTGTTACTATAGCTTTTAGCACTGGTGTGTACAAACCTTTAGGAAGTTCTGAGGTAAGCTGTAATAAACAGGTGAATAAAACACCATCTTCTCATATGTAGTGCTTGTAAGCATTTGTCTGTAACTGTGTCACTTTATTCAAGGAAGATGCATCAGAGAGGTCTAAGTGGGCAGATGGCACCTTTCTGACAAGCTCTGCTCAAAGGGCTTAGAGGAGCACCTTGCTCAGATTCCCCTTCACCAGTGCCACAGAAGGCTCTGCTGTGTTCAGAGTCAGTCCAGACCTGTATTACCTCTCTGCTTTACAGAGCCTCTTCCACTAACTGCAGCACCTCCTGCCCCAGTTTTACAGCAGCTGCTAACCTGACTGGAAAACTGCCCTTACACCTTATATTTGGCCCAGACAGCCTGGGAATGGCTTGGCTCAGAGCTGGCACACCTTCCCCAAAGAGTTGCTATTGTTCCTCCCACAGCTGCCTGCAGCCAGCCAGCTGAATAAGAAGATAGCAAGAGGAACTTTCCTTCACTGCAGAAGAAGCTCTGCTTTCCACTCAGCAAAATCCTTGCTATCTCCTTGTGACAGCTTTGCATGGCTGTCACAACACCTTTCCCCAGAGTGGGCTTCCCTGCTAAGAACTCACACTGCCAAAGCCACCCCTGCAGCCTTCGGGCAGACCTTCATCCTGCCCAATGTAACTCTGCTCAGCCCTGTGCCATGGCTGCCAAGCGAGACAGATGCACTCTGCCCACCCAGGCCACCGGGAAGGGGGACTGAGCCAAGGGGAGCTCCAAGGTGGCTCCTGCAGAAAGCAGAGAGATGATGCCTGGGATGGCGATGTCAGCACCCTCCCCAGCACAGCCTCTGCACCTCCAGCCCGGACTGTGCTCTGAGAACAAGGCTCCAGCAGACAAACCAGAGGAAGCCCTGATCTCTGATGAAGGCAGCCCCAAAGATGGGAACATGAAGACCCTCACAAGAGCACACTGCTCTGCATTTCCTGCAGGGCAACCAAGTCTCCCAGGAGACAGAGCTGGGGTTCCAGCAGAGCATCCTGCTACACACACACAGTGATCACAGGGCCGTGGCAGGCAGTGGAGCATGCATGGGTGAGTGCAAGTAAGGGAACGCATGAATGAACGTGTGCCTGGGAGTGCAGCAGAGAAGGGACTCCCCCGATACCCACGCAAACCTTCCAGCACCTCTTACACTCTCTGTCTGTGCTGCAGATCTGTGGAAAATCATGTGGAAAAATACAGGCACAGGGTCAGGTCTTGAAATTTGTCTTTTTAATAAAAAGGCACCTATAAAACAGGTCAATACATTACAGGCAGCACAGATACCCAAAAACAAGCCTAAAAATTGTTTCAAATAAAAACCAATAAGATGTCTTCACATATTGTATTTATATATTTATATTTATATATATATATTTATATAATGGTACAAAATGACTGGGGAAGTTTCTCCATGGGATGACAGAGAACAGGTCAGTCAACTTTACCTCAATGTGAAAGCTAATTCCAGGTGTGTGATTATCCAACATACTGAAAGATGCTGTTTCCCAGCATTCGCTTTTTTGGAGCTGGAAAAACATGGCAAAGTCATGGCTAAAAGATGGGCAAACCTTCTACTGTGATTAGGTGGAGTCAGTACACAGAACTCAAGGTGAGGAGCCAAGCAATAAACTACAAGACACAAGACTAGACACAGGTCACGGCAGTGGGCAACCAGCTGATGGCAAACCTTGCCCAGGTCTAACAAGGACTGGCTGTCACTGAGCCTCCAAAGGAACTCCTGCCACATTGCTGATCACAGACATGGTTGGGAGCAGCCCTCAGGGCACAGGGGTGTTAGGCAGCATTTCTTCTCCCCATTGTTCAGCCATCACAGTGGTAGGGCTAGGGCTGGCTCCAGGGCAGTGAGATTTTGCAGAAGAGCACCAACTGCTGCTCCAGAGTCCTCAGCTCTGACCTAGCATCGGGATTTCCCTTCTGTATCCAGGGCTGCTGAGTCAAAAGGCTTATTGGTCACTGAAGGACAGGTCTTCCTCCTGTTGCCAGGCAGAAATAGCATCACACTACCATGTCCCTGTGAGCACTCAGCACTAGTCTTCTGAGCACGGCACAGCGTGTGCCACAAGCCTGCAGGCTCCTGCTGATACAAGGACAAGGCGCTGCTGACACAGTGAGGACTGCAAGCCCCAGGCAACTTCTGTGTCGGGCTGGGCAAAAGGGACAACAGGGAAAGTACAAACACATGGAGATCTCAACCAGGCTAAAACAACAGCTATCTACAGGCAAACAAAAAAACTTCCATAGAGAAAATGTTATGGCTTCAAATTAGCCAAGACTTGCTGGTAGGTGATGAGCAAAGTTTGGGACTGTAATTGGTATTTGGATGTTTACAAGAAGCTACCAGCAGCCAACAGCCTGAAGAGCAGCCAAGAGAAGCTACAGCCTTTCAGGCAAGTCAAGCTTAGAAAGAGCTACATCTGTTTGAGCCACATCCTCCCGCATGAAACACACACTGAAAGATCAAGAATCCAACCAGATAACATGTCAGGTCCAAAGCCTGATCTTCTGATTATTCTTCTGCTCCAACTGCCTCAGCAGGAAGGAGAACTTCTCATGATTGTTCCTGTTTCACCACTTCAAAAAATGTTACTTTCTCACATAGTATACAACAAACTCCTACAAAGCAGGAGACTAGAGCAAGATCCTTCCTCAGATCCAAACCCATGCTTCTCACCTAGCACTACAAAAAGCCACAAAGCTTCAATGTATTCCTAACTGGACTTTATGATTCCATCTTCTCACAGACTGGATCAAGACAACTGCTGGGCTGATATTTCAGTACCCACCAGCCTTTCCAAATAGCTTGCAACTTGATAACAAGTGTTGCTGTTCACTCACTACTTGGCAATCTCCCTTTCCAAAGCCCTCTCCTCCTGGCAACAGCAAGTTGGGAAAGGTGAGCTCTGTTATAAGAGAGGTAGTGTGTTAAGCCTGGCTCTGCAGAGATAATCCTCCAAGCAGTGTTCCTCCAGCAACTGTGTGCCCCAGGTTCACCACTGGATGCTGGAATTGCAAGTCCTCACAGAGGTCCAGAGATACTGTGATGTGTGCAGAAACATGCGTGCATCATGACACATTCCCCTCTGTGAAAAACATGGGAAAGACCATCAGGGCTGCATGCAGGAAGAACCTTACGGAGTACAGGATGGAGAAGGTGGAGTGCATCCAGAAAAGCCAGAGTTGTCCAAATGGCATGCTTTTGCCAGCCTAGGAAATAGAGATTGCAACTCGACTGTGGCCTCTTCTGTCTGAAGCACAGGATGGCCATGCTGCTGACACTGAATGCTGAGGTAGAGTATTGCACTCAAGGCCAGGCCCTCTTCAAGAGCTGGACCTCTCCTGTGCCACAGGGCAGGGCTGCTGCCAGTAGCTCAGGTTACCATGGAGTGAAGACTGCCTGCAAAACTCTACAGATGAAGGACTGACAAGCACAAGGAAAACCTGGGAAAGCATTCAGTGGCTGGGAAGCAGGACACAGTGGTGAAGGGTAATGGATGGGTAATGGACTGGTGTAGGAAGGCTCCAGAAGATCAGGGTTCCCAGCTAGCCTCTCCTGGAAGCACTGGAATGCATCACCCCACTCACCTCAAAGCCCATCTGTCCCTACCCACCGCAACACCTTGCCTACAGGGGACACAGCATGAAGGGCAGAGAAGGGAGTAGAGGTGACAGAGCTGGTCAAGACCTTCAGGTCCAGCACGTTACCATCTGCGAAGCCCAGATTCTTGATGCTTCTCCAGCTGAAGGGCCGGCATCCTTCCCATCCCAGACACAGCAGCTTCTCCAGAGAGCAGCAACAGCTGCATCCTGTAAAACTGTGGCCTCTGCCCTACCAGATGAGCACCACTCCAGCAGCATTTCACTGGGGCTATCAGCTCCCCCCGCCCCTGGCCCAATGGCCCTTGGTGAGTGGTTATGTTTGTGTACTCGACCTAGTATCCATGTATCCACGGGACCTGAGAGCTGCATGACACTGCACCACCCCCTCTCCACACACATGCAAAACCATTCAGATTAGTGAACAACACAGGTCTGACAGAGTCACTCTACAATGGGATCTCTCAACACCCTGTGCACCCTGGGGATCCTCCTGCCTCCCCCACGGAGAGATTTCAATCCTTGTACACTGTTGCCTTGAGCATGTTTTTTTCTTTCTGTTTTTTAAAACATGTTTTGAGGCTTCTATTAAAACACAGAAATACAGGACAATTAAAAACCAGCACAAATTTTGCCTTTCCCAGCGACCTATTTACAGCTAGTTCCAAAAACCCTCTTGCACATTTTGGTTGCTTAAAAAGGAAGGACAAAAAAAAGAGAGAGGAAAAAAGGGCAAGAAAAACACTTGACAGAGGAAAACCATAAGTGAAAACTTTACAAACTGCCACAAGGTCTGGATGTCCCTGGTCACCACGCAGGGTTCAAATTAGCAGCCCCACTCCCAGCCTCTTCACCCTCCCCTTCCCCAAAAAAGAAAGGAAAAAGAAACCCAATTCACATCAAGTTTACTGCACATCTGGTTTGCTGTGTAGAGGCAAATCCGATATGAAAAGCATCCCACGTGGTGTCCTCCACTGGCATTGGCCCCCAACCCGCCCCCAGAGAAAGGTTTAAAAATGTTTGTAGGCGCAGCCCCATCCCACCCCAGCCCTGAGCGCCAGTCAGGGTTAAAAAGGCAAGTTCGCCATGTTCCCAGGCCCGGGGATATAACTCATCTGGCTGTCCAGGGAGACACTCCTCTGCCTCATCTGGTGTGTGACCATGAGGTTCTGCTGAGGCGGGGGCCCCATGAGAGAGCCCTGAGGTGACATCATATGTCCTGTCTGGGCATACATCTCCCCCGACACAGACATGCTTCTCTGCTTGGCCTGCATCAGCATGAAATTCTGCTGGGCCATCAGGCTCTGCTGCGGAGACATCATGCCCTGGTGCATGCTATTGCCCATCATGCCTTGCTGGGGCGGTATGCCTGTCCTGCCCAGCATGGGCACTTGTCCAGGATGGCACATGGGCATGCTGAGTCCCCTCTGCACGCCCTGCTGCCCGGGGAGGCTGGGAGCATTCATACCTGGACGCACGGGGGGCTGCTCAGCCATCATGTTCTGCAGGTTCATGAGGTGGAGGTTGGAAGGCTGAGATTTGGGTGCCTGGCTGTCGCTCTTGGGGAAATACTGCAAGGTGCTGCTTGGCTTCTCTGATGGGATGATCCTGGACAGGTCAAACTCCGGGATCCCCGTGGGCGTGGGGCGGATGACCTCACTGAGCTCGGGGTCGTTCAGCACCGACGCCACCCCAGGAAGCACGGGTGGGTAGGGGTCACCAATCCGAGGAGGGATGTTCTTGCCCATCATGTGCTGCTGAGGGGGCATCTGGCCAGGCTGCTGGGAGGGAAGGTCCTCGGGCGGCAAGGGCATCCCTGGCGGGTAATGCTGCTGCATCCCAGGGCCACCTCCTGCACTGGGGGCCATGGGCATGCCTCCGGCAGGAGATGGCATGGCATTGTGGGGCTGCTGCATGCGGGGGAACACGAGCTGGTTGGAAGGAATCATCTGTGAACTGTTGGGCACAGGGCCACACTGCTGGTTCAATGAGTCCTGGGGACCCGGGGGCAGCATCATGGGGTTCTGGG